AATACAAGCTCGGCACCTTTTAAGAAAAGACACTTTTAGAGATCTTAAACTCAATTGGGCTATCTCAGCAGCAGCTCCATTTATTTGTTCCCGCAAAAGCTCTTCGGTTTGAATTGTTTTTGAATAAATTTTGTCCTTAAGACAGCCCCAGTAGAAAAAATCTAATGGATTCAGGTCTGGCGATCGAGCGGGCCACGTGATTGGCCCGTATCGTCCAATCCATCGGCGAGGATAAGTTTCGTCTAAATGAGCTCTTACTTCACGCCCGTAGTGAGCAGGGCACCCGCCGCAGGTTTAAGGGTACATTTTCCAAAAGAGTTGGAAGCCGTTCCTGAAGGAACTCTAAATAACTGTGAGAGTTGAGCGTTGGCGGCAGTTCCACAGGTCCCAATATCTGACATTAAAAATACCGCACCATAAATTTATTTTGTACCGGTACTGCGAACGATCTTCTCTCATTTCGTGAGGATTATCTATCTGCCAACTGTGAAGGTTATGTAAATTAAAATAACCATCACGTTTGCATGATGATTCATCGCTCCAAATTATTTTATTAAAAAAGTTGGGATCTGATGCATGCATTCGCAACATTTCACGGCAAAATCTAACCCTCGACAGGTAATCTCTTTCCTGTAGGGCCTGAACACGTTGAATGTGGTAGGGATGAAATCGATGGTCTTTTAAAGCTTTGTGAACTGTAGTTTTTGGTATTCCCGTCCGTCTTTCCATCATTCTGACTGAAGTCGATGGACCTAGTTCCACTTCCTCTAACACAGCTTCAACATCTACCGTTGCAGGACGTCCTGTTTCGCCGCCACGCCTTTCAAGTATGCGACCTTAAAAAAGGGAAAAATGATAGTTAACAAGCAAGCAAACAAGAAAGGTGTAAAAATCACTTACCTTCATATATTTCTCTATGGGTCCGGGCGAATACTTCACGACCCGGATGTCGACGATTGGGGTATCGCTCTGCATAGAGTTGAGTTGAGCAGCTCTGGCATTATAGCAAGCTTCACCGTAAATTAGGTGAATATCCGCATATTCATGCGACGTATACTGCGTGTTCTCTGTCATAGTATTAATAACACAATGTTCGAAGGGTCCAACACAAAATAATGTCAGGAGCAGGTAATAATGTACCTTTGTACTATTTAGCATGTCATTTGACGGTAACAAGAGCAAATTCAATCTAAATATATTAAATACATTCTAGCGTGTCTCAGTCCTTTACCCATAAAAGCGGCTATAACTTTTTTTCTATTCAAAACAGCAAGTGTGGCACCTTTCTGAAATCTTTATTTAATGAGCAATTTTTTTATGTAATGTAAAGTTATAGCTCAGTACATTTTTTTTTCACCCGAGATAGTCAAAGTTGGGGAAGAAAATATCAAAAAGTTAAAAATCCAGAAATAGTCCTAATTTTATGATGGTTCCTTAATATATTTTAACTACATTGCATTTGAGTATGGAGAGGCAACTATCTGGAAGTATTTTACATAAAAAATTTACTAAGAAAATTCGAAAAAATGTAAATATTTCAAAAACGGTGACACTTTTACCTGCAATTTTTTTGTTTATCAGTGAGCATTTTATAAACCCTAACATTGAATACGATTTGTTAATAACACGTCCGCAAGCGATAATAATGTTAGTTTACTATCAAAGATGGTCCCTAAATCTTTAACATCATATTTACGGAGCAAAGTAGTCTCACCTAGGAAATAATTAAACATTTTGAAGAACAAGAATAGGGAGGACCTACCTGAGTCTTTTACGGGAAGCCCGCATTTATAATAGTTTTAAATTTTATGGAGCCGATTCTTACTACGAACTTTCTATTAGGGGAGAAGTTTTTAAATAATCTTTAGTTTGGAGCCGGTATACCAAATTTCCCAAGTTTGTATAACATTATATTCAGATTAGTGACATTCCTTTGCCAAATATAAATCTGGGTCGTTCCGGTTACGTAGACGCGACTGCCGTGGGAACGTGAGAAGGCCCCTCTACCCGGTTGGTTGATGTCAGCCGGAATACCAGGAATGCTGCCATAAACGCTGTCCCAGCAATGCGATGGATGGAGCAAGGTAGACCAAACATGGAACGTTGCGAGGTCTACTACAGCTGCCTTGTATGTGAAGGAGCGCAAATTCGGTTTTAATTATGTGGTGGAACAGGGACGTCATCGCCAAGTAGTGTAGTTTACCCCAATAGATGTGCATATCGCCGCTTCAAAGTAAAATTCTGCAGTACCCATTTATTTGCGGCCACGGCCCGACGTAGGAGGGCGTGGAGTCTAAAGAAATGACTTTTGATTGAAACCTTGAACTTATTTTCTTTCGCTTTCTTGAAACTTCAAGAATTCTACTGTATGCAGTTTACTACAAGCTTTAGACAAGTTTATTGAACACGCGTCGTTGATTCGATTTTAAAGTGGCTTTAATAAAGAGGCTCTTATTTCATGAACTTGACTCTTCAAGAAATACATAGATAGACCATATATACATACATAACTAATGAACCATAATAAAATATAAAAATAAATGGCGATTTTGATTTATTTCAAGTGCTGATAGCGCATTTTTGATAAATCAACATTAAAATTATTCCAACTGATATGTACTGTGCGCAAATTTGACTTACGTAAATTAATTTTACTGTCCAATGAAAAATTGATTACGGTGTGGTTTTATTTTAAATTTTAAATGCAAATAAATACAAATTTGCATGTGTTTTGTGTGTGTAATACATATTTACAAATTCGCACTTAAAAACACACGTAAGCTCATTCAAGTGTCATAATGCTCTTGTTTCTTTGCACTTGCATATATTTTGCATTGTTGTCTATTGATACATATGTATATGAAAGCGGAAAAAACATTTCTTAAACAAATGGTTTCGGTTATTAACCCACTTTAATAACGACTATTTATTTGAAAAAAAACAAATCCCATATGTTGTCAATATTTGTTTGGCACTCAGCCTCTTTTCCTTCACACTGCAGGCATATTCCAAATGCGTTCGTTTGCCTGTGTGTGTGCCTTTTAATGCAGCTCACTTGTTTTGTTTGACATTCAGCTTTCAGTCTATGCTAACGACAAACAACGTCGCCTCACCGCAGTGGCTTTATCGTTAACGTCATCAGGCATTAATATATAGTACATACACCTATGGCCAAAATAAAAGAAACGCGACATTTTGACAAGTTTTTCCTTTATTGATTTGACTCTTGTTGATTGCTGATAATTGTTTTCTGACGGTGTTACGTATTTCCTTCCATATAAAAAAAATTTCGAACAATTTCAGCAAAAAAAAATTGTGAAAACTCAATGGTAAGTCCTGACTACTTCGAACTTGCAGTTTATTATACACACAAAAAAAGGCCAACTTTTCAGAAAACGAAACTACTATTCATTTTACACGTTTTCGATAGTGTAAACACGGCCAAATACGGTCAACATCTTAAAAGGTTATTCAAATATTACTTTTAAGAAAAAAATTAAAGGTTATGCCAGAAGTACATATGTAAAAATTTACAAAAAAAAAAGGAGTTGTAGATCTTAAAAGTACTTACTTTTCTCTTGATTCTCTATATTTTTGTAAATTTTTTAGATAAGTATTTTTAATTTATTATTTATAATTTATTTTTGTAAATATTTTAAATAATCATTTACCTAAATATGGTTCGAAAATAGCTAAAAATAGCAAAATCACACACAAACAACGACTTTGACCACCTGCTAAGCAGTTGTCGTTCGTTAAAAAAAAACACCGTTATTTGATTTAAACAAATACCAAGGACAAACAGTTTATTTTTTATGTATGAAAACCGACTTTTGGCCACATAAGCCGCTCAAATTACCCTTAGTGCGCCGTCAGTAAAAAATCAACGCTGTTTTTTTTAGCAACATCAAACTTGCATTAAAATTTAAAGGGCTATAAAACTGCACACCAATTTGTTTTTTTTTTTTCGAAATACTAAATACTGTGATGAAACTTTGAACAATTTTTCCAATTTTTGTACGAAGTTTAATGTTTAGATGAAAATGTTTTTTTTTTGTTAGTTATGGAGCTTTACTTAAATGAAAAATAATAGACTTTTAATAAGACAAAGAAAAATATCCAAAACTTGTTAAAATGTCGCGTTCCTATTTGTTTGCCCGCCACTGCATGTACATACACACACATAGAGGCGACCAACTGGCTACGCGTTTCCTTCGCTTTGCTGCGCCTACACCCGCAGCTCTTATCCGTTT